AGAGGTTTTTGAAATTTAGTATATTGTAATCCAATAAGTTTTTTATACAGATTTGATATATAAGAAGCTTTCATATTTATTGGATTTTCTTTTTTACTTTCATTATATCCATTATGAAGTTGCCAAATTAAATGAAGCAAATTAAATAAATGTTTTTGATTAGAATATCCAGTACTAACATCTAATTTACCAAATGCAAAATTTTCAAAATGAGTTATCATAATATGTGCTAAATGCATACTACATGATATTCGAAATAAATTTGATAATATTTTATTATTAAATAATGTAACAGCACCACCTTTATAACCTGACATATATACCGTATTATCAGTTATCCAAGTAAAACAGTTTTTAGGATTTATTTTATAAGCATTACAAGTTTCAACAACTATATTAGCAATAGTAGATCCACTATAATTTAATAAATCTTTTATTTCTAATAAAGTTGCTTGTGGCATATTTGTATTTGAATTCCAATAAATAAAATATATTAAAAAAATTTTACTATTACCTCATTTAGATTCATCAGCCATTATTCTATAAGCTGAAAATTTAGAATTTTTAATTATATTAGATTGTTGATTAGTATAAAATTTTGCAACATCTCTATGCCATCCAGTAAGAGTTCTTACTGAAAACTATTTATTAGGTTCCTTATCTATAAGCCATTCAACTACTGCTTTAGTACATTCTACAGCAGATTTATATGACATTTTACCAATTTGACAAACTTTTGTTGCTATTTGTATTATTTTTGTTGTATATTGATATTTATTTTCCATTAATTGTTGCTTAATTGCAGTTTTTAATTCTTCTTTGATATAATTTTTAATTTTAGATATTTGCTGTTTTTGAATTTGTTTAAATTTATCAATTTTATCATTTAATGATTTATTTTCATTTTTAATTATATTTAGTCGATGTGTTAAACTATTTATTTGATTTGTTAAAGATTTTATTGTAGTATTACATTTATTAATATCATGTTCTGTTTGATAAAGTGAATTTTCTATATAATTTGCTGCTTTTTGTTGTAAATATTTTGAAAAAAGCTTACCAGTATTTTGACCTTTTTTATATCACATAGTTTGTATTAAAGAAAAAGCTAATAATAATTCATTATAATCTGTTTTTATAATATAATTTAAAAATTTTTGTTGAATTTGTAATAAATTTAGATTATACTTTTGGTTATAAATAAGTATTTAAGTAATTTCATTAAATAGATTAAGTAATTGAATTTTTGAATTGACTTTATTTGGTTGCTCTATTTGAATTTTATCAGGTTGTATAATAATAATTTTAGTTTGAGTAGCAACAATATTAACAATAAATTCAGTTTGTGTAGCAATTATATTAACAAGATTTTCAGTTTGAGTGGCAATTGTATTAATATTAGATTCAGTTTGTATAGCAATTGTATTAACAAGATTTTTAGTCTGAGTAGCAATTGTATTAACAGGATTTTCAGTCTGAGTAGCAATTGTATTAACAGGATTTTCAGTCTGAGTAGCAATTATATTAACAGGATTTTCAGTCTGAGTAGCAATTGTATTAACAAGATTTTTAGTCTGAATAGCAATTGTATTAATAGGATTTTCAGTCTGAGTAGCAATTGTATTAACAGGATTTTCAATCTGAGTAGCAATTGTATTAACAAGATTTTTAGTTTGAATAGCAATTCTATTAACAAGATTTTCAGATTGAGTAGCAATTGATGTAGATAATATATCATTTATATTGTTAATAGTTGTAAAATCTGTAATATTTGTATTAATTAAATCATTATTATTAGTTTTTTTAATAGTTTTACAAATTTTTTTTAAATGATTTCGCTGACTATAATGTTTAACTTGCTTTGTTCTTTTTGGTATATTTATTTTAAAAAGTATAAAAATAAAAATTGTAAATTGTTTAATTAATAGATAAGATTTAGACTTTTGTATATACTTTTAAAAATTTATAAAAAACCTAAAAAAATTAAGAAATTAATTTTTTATATAATAAATAACAAAATTTGTTTAGTAATATTTTTTAAATTAATAATAAATTTTTTAAAAAATTTTTTAATTTAATAATTTTTATAATTTTAAAAATACTAAATTTAATAGGATATTGCTATTTATCGCCAGTAGCGATATCGCTGGGATACTATATTTCAAAAACCTACTAGCTAATGCATATTAAAAATACTAAGTAAAAATGTTCAGGACCTCCAAAACCTAACTCTAACAAAGATTTGGACCCTTATACCTAACCCTAACCTTGGTCTAAAATTGCACCCTATCTCTAAATTTGATAAAAG